TGAGCTCCTTTTAACTCAATTGCTTTTGTTAAGACCCTCACTCCAAATAATGGCTCCTTCTCAAGGACTGGAGGTTAGGGCTGGGGGACAGACACAATCCAACCCATACCACCCAGACAGGAGGGTCAGACAGCCCCCAGACGTTGCACAGCGCAGGCACTGAACACCTCTGGGGAAGATCTACCCATATGCCCCCAGAAGCTCCTCGGGACCCTGACCAGACCCCCACTTTCTCCAGACAGAACAAATGAACCACAAGCCTCACCTGGGTGTGAGGCTGTAAATGACTTTTCTTATGGTGAACTTCAGGCCATAAGACTTGATCTTTGAATTTTACCTGTGGTGTCACAGGCTGGAAAGTTCACAGGCAAGAGCCCTGTAGGTTCATAGCACTTGAGAGGGTAAAGGCCCACTTTTTATCTTGAGAGACTTGGGGGCTCCCTGATGGGGCCTCCTTTGTTCCTCCTTTCTTCTATCTCAGGAAGGAGACCTGACCACCTTTGACCCGGGAACATTTGGAAACAAACTGAAACCTCAATCTTCTGACCAACTGTCTCCCTAAGTGCAATCTACTAAACATAATAAAATAGCGGATTTCAGTCTTGCACCTAAGATCATCAACAGAGCCGAGAGACTGACCAGATCTGGCTCACTGGAAGGACTGAAAACTAACATTTTGTTTCAAGGACATTTTTTTGTTAAGTTGTTAAGTTGTTTTTTGTTAAGTTGTTAACATTTTTTGTTAAGTGTCCCAGATTCCTCAAGTCCAGATAATCTCCCGAAGGAAGATGTATAACAAGAGACATTTCTCTTTTCATTTTTCGCTCTGCTGCAAGAGAGGACCTCCCAGTCTCCTGGAACATCCTGTGGCTTGACTGTTCCCTCTCTAATTCTTTCTTCCATGTGGATTAGTCTCATGCTGTTAATGTGCCCTAATTTCAGACCCTTTTCCCTTCCCTCCTGATTTTTACGTATTCTGACAACTCACTGGTTTTTAGGATTCAGAGCAGGAGGGTTTTTTTTTCTTTCTCTTTCTGCTGTCTGTGTGTCCCCCTTCCAGGTCCACACACACAGACACCGTGGCGTAGCGACGAGGGTTCAGACGTGAGGGGTGTGCAGTCGGGGCTGGAGGCGCCCCGTGGCGGGCGCTGCGGGCCGTGGGGGTGGCCGTGGGTCTGTGCTGGCTGCGGTGCCCTGGCTGCAGGTGGCGAGGTCACTCATCGGCGTCACGGCCGATGGAAGGGGACTCTCCCTCCGCGGAATCCCGCCATGGCCTCCCATTGTACAGCATCTCCCGCCAGGAGGCACGCCCCTGTCCACTTTGCCCCACACGTTTCACTCCTGCCTGTTTTCCTGTCCCCGAATGTCGGCTGAGGATGGCTTTCTCCCTCCTCGGGAGCACCAGCATAACCCGGGCCCTCTGCAGCTGGACATTGCCCATTAATCCCCAACAAAAGGCCAGGCTGTGCTCCCCACGTGTGTTTTCCTCACTGGTCCGTTTGCTGGGCCCCAGGAGTTAACGTGCGCGCCGGCTCAGCCCCGGGGGGTGCTGCTGGCCCCCCGCTGCCCGCTCAGTGCCGTGGCCTCCGTGCACGTGGAGCAGGAGAGGAGCTGGCGTCACTGCACGTGTGGCCATCGGATTGGGAACAACGTGGGAGTGACTCAGGCCAGGGCGTCGACGCTGCGGTGCGCCCTCGCCCGGGCCCAGACACGGTGGGTCTGCGATGGACCAGCCTCCGCTTCTGTAAGCGTCCTGGGACTGACGCGCCCACGGGCCTGGCTGATTACTGTCCGTGTGGCCACGTGCATCTGCTGTTCGGTTGTGCCGCGTGGAAAGCCAGTCGTGGCCAGAAGCCACGTGACTTACTCCCCACAGAAAATCAACTCTCCAGAAGACCGGAAACAGACTGGCCAGATCCTAGGGGTATGTCTCCTGTGTCCATACCTGGAGACAACAGCTAACAGGCTGACAGCGGGTACCTGGCGGGGGCACCAGCCTCCCTTTGGCTCCGAAAGCAAGAACTCCAAGAGCCCGCCAGGCTCCGGCCCGCTCTGCCACTGACCAGCCACCACCTCATGCCTGGAGCATCAGGCGACCCAGGAGCCCTGCCCCGCGTCCATGGTCCGATGAGATGGTTGGGCGGCGGGGTGTGTCCGGGGGCATCACGCTGCGTCACGCCCCGTGGAGCAGCAGGTTTGCGGCTCTGACCCGCCCCAGGGGACACGTTTCCCACCCTTCTGACAACCCACCGCCAGGTCCCCTTGCAGACTCCTGCCGCGGCTGATGGGCTATTTGGGGGGCACTCCACATATTTTTGAGTGTGAGAGCCCCAAGTATTTGATTTTACGAAGAACATTCTACGAGGTCATCTCATTCATGGGGGAGCTCAGACCCCAAGGGTCCACGGTTCTTTCCCCAAAGACACAGAGCCAAGAACGCCACGTGGGCTCCAGGTCAGGCCCCTGGACCCCAGGCCCAGCAGCCCCGTGCTCCCCACAGAGAGGGAGGCTTCCCTGCTGGTCAACGGCTCCAGGAGCACCCTGCCTTCAAACAGTGCAGAAAACCATGTCCGGAGCTCCGTCAGCCTAGGTTTTTATTTTTATTCCAGGTTTAAGCCAGTTCGTGTCAAGGTCAAGAGCACCTTGGTTAAAAAAATCCCTTCAAACACTTAAGATAAATAAAGCCACGTTCCCTTTGGCAAAGCACGTTTGGTGACGTTCTCTGTGGGACTTGACTGGACGGTTGAGACATGCATTCCCGGGGGGTGGAGGGGGCAGTCCCCCTCTGGGGCAATCCTGGAGGACAGCAAAGGGCAGTGGCATCGGGGACGTGGGGCAGGGATTCATTCTGAGACTGGAAATACCCCCTGGTCCTTCCTCTGTCTGCGCCCGACTGCACAAGCTCGTTCTTCTGTCGGGAGGAGGTGGGCCAGCCAGTTGGCTCAAACCCTAGCTCGTGTGTTCTCTGTGAAGGCCAGATTGCGGTTTAGCGAATCCCATCACCCGCTGTGGGAACAACGCCCGTCGCGGCACACGGACTCCGCCACACACACTCCCCGGTCCCTGCGCACCAGACAGCTCGGCTCTCCACCTGCTGGGGGAGGGGCACAGCGTCGGTGACGCAGAGGACTTGCTTATCAGCAGACACGCAGCAGCAGAGTCAACCCTGTCTGTGCCCAGGTGTCCCTCGGGGCCCTACAGGGCCCCTGTGCCCCACGCTACGGCCTCCAAGCTGGAACATTATTCTTGGAGACACCTGACGGCACTTCCAAGCTTCCCCAGAGCCTTCCTTCACCCCGGACATCAGAGCCCTGCTGTGGGCAGTGCACACACGAGCCAGAGAAAGTGGCCACCCCGCAGCCCCGGAGGGAACAGCCTCTGCTGGGTCTGTGTCCTGTCAGGTGGGGGCACGGGGACAAGGGTTTCAGAGGGGCATTTCCTCCCGGCACTGACGTGATGTGCAGAGGTGAAGCCGTGCCAGCTGTGGACCCCCGGAATGGTGAATCGCACGAGCTCATTCTCAGAAGGCAATGTCGGGTGGGCCTGCAGTAAAAATATAAAGTGCTGATTCTAAGCATGGCTGAATCGGGTGTGTGTTTGGGGAGGAAAAGAGCACGTAGACGGGATCCTGGGGTGTGTGAGAGACGCGTGTGTGCAGAGGGAGGCGCAGAGGACAGGCGTGTGCATAGGTGTGTGTAGAGGGGCGAGCGCGTGCGGAGGGCGGCGGCGGGCTGCGGGGTGGGCTGGCGGGGACGAGCCGGAGCACGTCGTGTGTGGCGTCTGATGTGAGACGGGGCCCAGGGTGACGGCGCTCTCTGGTTCCCCCGAAACTAGCACGGTCCTTTCATGTGTCCATAAACACGGAAACCCTCCCATAAAAACTTTCCCTAATTAATTACGGGGAGCCTCTGGCAGGCGGGGGGGGGGGGTGGTGCCGCAGCGACAGTGGGAACACCTTCTCCCCCCACCACTGCGCGAACCGCCCGTGCCCTGGTGTCAGCCCGAGGCTTCCAGCTCTCCCGGCTCCCGGTTGGCCCCTAGGGAAGGGTGGTCGCGAGTAGGGCTCCTCTGAAGGGGTTAAAATGTTGGGAGGGATGGCAGTGGACAGGGAGAGAGAAAGAGCAGCGGCCCCTGTAAGAAGCACAGAACTTTCGGGCAGAAAGTCCGGTTGAAAGCTAAGTGGCCCCGTTGGGGAAGACGATGTGTGTGTGGAACGGGCAGCCGTAGGGGAGAAACAGGATGTGGAGCGGGGGAGTTCTGAGACAGCACAGCGACCTGCAGCCCTGCGGTGTGTCATGTGCTGTCCCCTGCCCGTGACTGTGGGTGGACCTGGGGCCTTTTTCTCACCAGGAGCCCCCGGCACAGGCGGGGGGCCGGCCCTGACCTGAAGAGGCGACAGCGGGCGTCCGGGGCTGCATCCTGGACACTCGTGCTGTCCTCGATGAAGGACTGCCGAAGGCTGGGTCCACGTGGCGGGGACACACAGAAGGCACCAGCCGTGAGGAGCCCCATTCTGCCAACAGCCATGTGAGCCTGGCAGGGGACCCTAAGCTTCAGAGGAAAGCATGGCCGGATGGGGACCTCGGTTGCAGCCCTGGGAGACCCTAACCTTGGAGCCAAGTCGAGCCGAGCCGGGACTCCTGATTCCCAGATGCTGTGAGATCATAAAAGGGTGGGGGTTTTTTGTTTGTTTTAAAACAGCTTTCTTTAATATATTTCACATACATACAACTCACCCATTATAAGTCAATGCATCTTAGTATATCCCCAGGGTTATGCAGTCACCAACACTAGCTAACTCCAGAACATTCTGATCCGTCCTAAAAGAACCCCCATAGCCATTAGCCATCACTCCATATTCTCCCCCATTCCTGCCCAGCCCTAAGTAACCATTAATACAGTTTCTATCTCTGTATATTTGTGTATTCTAGACATTGTACATAAATGGAATCATACAGTATGAGGTCTTCAGTGACTGGATATGTTCACGTACCCTGTAT